ACTCATCGAAATAAAGGTGTTAACAAGGTCACAATATTTATCATCTGCTTCCAACAGTTATTCATTTTTTCTGTTCCTGATTTATTGAAAATCGAACCTGGTGAGATTTCAACAGTGTGTTGCACGTACAGCTCGACACAATCATTGGGACTGAAAGAAAAAACTGTGTTTTTGTCCATAACCATAAACGTTATACATAGTGGCCATATGCTTGGCTGCAAAGTGGAGCACCAGGATTGCCTCAGAGGGGTTTGTTGGGACTGTATCGCTCCAGGGCAAGACAGCGTTGGCGTATCCCTCTTCGCCTCCCAGTGGACTTGGGGCTGTTGTCCTGTTAACTGGTGTTACTTATGGCTGGCCAAGGGCTGGTCAAGGACACACATATACGCACGTTCACACACTGATGTGGTCTGATGGGCTTCAGGGTAATCTCAGTTCTTTAAAAGCCTTCAGGATCTCCCAGTTTGTGAAGTGCGTGTGCTTTCCTATGTGTGCTGTTGTTTTTGTGTGCACACTTTATGGCTGCGTGTTGCCTGTGCATGTGGAGGTTTCATCAGAAAACTCTGCGCCAACTTTTTCCCAATTCCCCAGGACCTGGCTGAGTCTGAGAGAAGTCCTAGTTATCTAATTCTGCAGGAGCTCAGTGTGTGCAGGTACCATACCGTGCTGCAGCCAGCTGGCACATGGATAAATCCCAAAATGTCTGTGAGACTGAACCACTTATTTGGGTCATGTTGGTTTGAGGGAAATGGAGTTGTTCAAACACTGAACTTTAAATGATCAACTGTGCTGATTTTGTTTTTTGTGTGCTAAAAAAAACCTGTTTTTCCACCAGGATTTGGCAAACTGTCTGCAAACATCAATGCACTGAATAATTCAGCATTCAACTAGGAAACGTCAAGAGACATTCTTTTTTGATTGCCAACAGTTGCATCATGGCACAACACCTTTACTCTTTCTAACGTTACAATATAGCAATATCCATGTCTGAGAAATCTCTGCTCTTGCACAGAAGCCCTGGATTTTGCATCCCAGCGCAGAGCTTGTGTTGCACAGTATATTTCATCAGCTCTTTTAAGATGGTTCAAAACAACTGAAAAGGCAAAATGTCCATGTTTTTGTTCACATTTCCATATCATCACGGATGTCAGTAGTTTGTTTAATTACAAGTTCAAAGGTCTGCCTTGATCTGAAAACCATTTAGAAATTACTGGGCTCAACTAAAAGGCATGAAAACTCAATCATGAAGCACTTACATGGCAGACACTTTTTTAACCACAGACATTCAGCTCAGCGGTTTTTGTGCTTGTCTGCCGTGTGAGAATTACCACAGAAAACTGCCAGGGGCACAAATGTAATTGTAGTGTAGATGGTAAAGTAAATACTGATGCATCGAAGCGCTTCCTAAAACCACCAAATGTGTGCATTATTATCTTTGAAGTGCTCATTTCCCCTCTGTGTGAGTAATCACACACAATCATTATGTGTAATGCTTGGAATTTCATCATTAATCTAAGAATGATTCAGCAGCTAATGCCCTGAAATTGAAATGAGATAACTCCTCCGCCTGTAGAATTTCTGCATCGCAGGTTTGTGTCATTACAGAACAAAGAGCTTATGCGACAAAGACGCTGAAGAAACGCTGCGGAGACCTTACAGCAGATGTGTGGAGTGACAATGACGAGTGGCGTCTCCCCTGTGTTAAGAGTATCGAGCTCACCCTGCATAGCTGAGCTGAAATCCAGGCAGGGAAGTTCAAGGATTACCGAGTTTTCAGGCATAAAGGGAAAATACAATGGATGCTTTTTTTTAGGGGGAAGGCGCATTCTCGCTTAATAATTTATTTTCCAGTTTCTTGTTTTACAAAAACCTTGGTCTCGAGTATGTTTATCATTGAGGGCAAGGGAGAGGCAAGCTGCGCGAGAACAGCACGATGAATGCACTTATTGTTCATAACAATGCCTGTAGGTGGGAAAGAGAAATCAGTGTCTATTCTATTCTAAATGTGCTCCACAGCCTGAGGTCAGGATATACATGACTGTAATCTGCTTAAATATACACTGCATTGTATGTGCATGGCTGTTTAGAAGGTGGTATAGTCTGAATGCTATAGCTGAGAAAGACTGAGGCACATCTTGTGTTGTTATTTCATTTTCTGCATACAGAATGAAATCAGAATTTTCCATTATCCAAACATTTCAAACTGTTGACCAGATTTAATTTTGAACATTTTTGGCCTCCAGATCCTGCAGATTTAAGGTCACAGAATCAGAACACCTTGCTCAAATGATGACATAATCTACTATTTAAATTACAATTTTGCCACGGACTAATCATTTTAAACACAAGTATTTAACCTTCCTCACAACCATCTGAGGACAGGCAGTATAGATAAGGGATGGATATATATTATCTGTAAGACTCTTGGCCAGCGCTGGTCAGAGCAGAGGGAAAAATAGGAATTATGGTCTCAGTGTGTCTGGTGGTCTCTGAGCTTTCTCTCTTATGCTCCCTCTTTTTTCTCTGTCAAACTGTGTCACAGACACACACACACAATTTTATCTCCCTTTCTCCCTCTTATTCTCGTGTCCCCCTCCTTCCTCATCCCATCTTCCATCCCTCTTTCTCACAGACAATTTCTCCCTGCCTCTTTTTTCATTATCCTTTTCTCCACATCATCTCCAACCTCTTTTATTTGTCTTCTCTTCCTCTATTCATCTCTCTCTCTCTCTCTCTCTGTCCCTCTGTCTTTTTGACTGGATCTCTCTGGGGGCGGATGTGTCTCTGTGGCCCTCTGCAGATCTGGAAAGGACATCCTCTCAGTTTAATTCAAGTCAACCCCGGTCTCCTGGTGCTCCAAGACGCAGCATGTGTGACAGCTCTGCAGAGACAGCCAGAGGGAACAGACAAGTCTCATCTGCATATACGTGTGTGTGTGTGTGACAGGGGGAGTGTGTTTCAGCCAGCCATCTTTTAACATTTGCCAAGACACTGAAAGAGTTAATTTCACCCTGACAGCGATCCTGGCTGTCTATAAATCTATGATGAGGGGCTGCTATGTTGATTAGTCGGTGTTAATTCAGCTCACGCTAATTAAAGGGGTTGGTGGTGCTATATAAATCTTTACATAACATATGCTGCGTGTTGTGAGCTTGGTGGTGAGACTGTAAATATCATGCCTACATACGAGCCAGGCAGCCGCCCTAACGCACAGCTGACTGTAAGAATATTGCATAAAACAACACTGAATCAAATGCAGGAGATGTAAGGGAGTCTCCATATTATTAATCATTTTACGAGAGTGTATATCTCACTTTTGAATTAAATCCTTCATGAATATCAGGCATGGACGTAAAGTTGAAGCGGTGATGTAATCCATGTGCAGTGTAGAGCTGCAGCCTAACCTGGCTTTTACCAGTTTTGGTAGTGAGGAGACAACAGAGCCTATAGAGTGTAACAGTTACTGCACACTTTGAGAATGGCTCTGGTTCAAGAATAATTCCTGTTCATTTTCTAAATCACACTTGGTTTGTACAGGAGCATTTAACCGTTTCACGATGTTGTAGTCTGTGGTAAGTCTGCCTTGGATGGTTAAAATACTATGGCCAATAATCAAACTGTCTTTCAGAAAATATATGAGATTTTTAATTTGGGAAACACATCNGACGCCTCGAACAGTGGGCTGGGGGCCGTTTTGTCCCAGGAGGTGGAGGGGACCGACCGCCCCGTACTGTATATTAGCAGGAAGCTGGTTCAGCGGGAGAAGAATTACAGTACGGTGGAAAAGGAGTGCCTCGCCATTCGGTGGGCGGTCGGGGCCCTCCGCTATTACCTCCTGGGGCGCCCTTTCACCCTCTGGTCGGACCATGCCCCGCTCCAGTGGCTGCACCGCATGAAGGATGCCAACTCGCTGGTATCTGGCTTTGCAGCCATTCAACTTCAAGGTGATCCACAGGCCGGGTACCCGGATGGTTGTGGTCGACTTCCTCTCCCGCTCGGCGGGATATATATCTATATATATCTATATATATATATCAACCTCTAATAATATCAGAGGCCAGGGGGGATCACAGACAGCAGGGGTAAGTGGATGTGTCACATCATTTTGCACCTGTCCTCCACCTAATTCCTCTGCTGGATTTTCCTGGTGAAAATTGAACGTCCATTGGACAGAGAGCAGACAGACTGCCATGATGGAAAGAGACAAAGAGGAGCTGGGAAAAATGGGGAGCGGAGGTGCTATACACCTGCATCCTACTTTTATCTCTAACCTCTAACCGCGTTGCTTGATGCTTGCAGGGAGTTTTATATTGAGCTGCTGTGTAAAAGAAATTCATGAATAAGGCGGCTGAGTGTTTGTTCACATGGGATGTCAGTGAAAAAAAAGCAAAGCAAGACAGTCAAGGTCATCCCAGCTTTCAGTTTAAAATGTATACATATATATATATATTAAAATATCTTTGGGTATAGGAACATACTGCTCCTAACTCCTACTCCTCCTGGGCAGCAGAAGCTCAGTCCATAGAGATTTGGCTTGGGAACCGGAGGCTGGCCGGTTCAAGTCCAGCATGGACTAAAAGTATGGAAGGTGGACTGGTAGCTGGAGAGGTGCCAGTTCACCTCCTGGGCACTGCTGAGGTGCCCTTGAGCAAGGCACCAAACCCCCCAATTGCTCGCAGGGCGCTTCTCCGGGGCTGCCCATCACTCTACCATCTCTCTCTATATTTGCATGTGTATGAGCCCTTTGTGTGTGTGGGATTGTGGGTTAAAAACTGCATGTATAAATACATTTAAAAAATGAGTGTAAAAGAATTTCCCCCTTGGGGGATCAATAAAGTATGTGTTCTTCTAACAGGTTTTATTCTCCATTCCAGTTCTGAACTCCATTTCTTGTTTGTTGTTTTGGTAAAACTCAATAGTTATGAGAATGTGTAGCATTGCCCTGGTCAGTTGTATGGATGTGTTCCCCTCAACAACAATGAGAACAATAGGATACTCACAAGCAATCCTCTGCTCGTCTGCAGCAAGCGCAGGCCCCGCCTCCAGTGTATTCCTTTCCTTTTTTGCGTCTGTCACAACTCTTCGCCTCAAGCCGGCCTTGATTGGCACCCGTCTGGAGAGCGGAGACACGTGCGACTCAAGGTGGTAAAAAACAGTGTCACTGGTGGCATCCAAACTCTCCCGACAAGTTTCACGTCCTCAGGGCTGGCCCCTGGAGAAACAAGAGCACGAGAGATGTGAGTGTAAGAATGGGCCTCCTCTTCCTGACACAATGAGGGGCATTGAAGAAAGGGAATGAGCAGGATGGCAGATGGGAGGAGACGCTGCCATTCTATAACAGCCTCTGGGTCATTCTCTGTGCCTTGCTGATAGAATTTGTGTTTACATCTGGACAGTTGTCAGGAGACACAATCATTGTGTGAATCTATTCCTCTGAACACAGTGAGGTGAAGTTATCTGCTGCTTGACAGACGAAATCAATGAGGTATTTATTTTTGCCTTTTCAGGGTGTGCCTTTTAGGACTTCACCCAGGGTGAAGTCAGCTGGATAGTTAATTTCATATTTTCATCATACAGTTGACAACCACCTGCACTGCTTTGTAATGAATGCATTTATATGTATTATTATATAAATATTTTTTTAATTAAATGTTATTATTAATAAGTGTTTTTTCGTCCTGCTCTCTAGGGATGAACTGGTGAAGAAAATGTGCATATATGCTAAAACATAGCAGCAGCTTGACAACTTATTCAGCCTATCAGCTATTAATAGACATCTTCCTCATATGTATGCCGTCTGGGGGGCCTCATTTTCAAAATGTCCATTCAAAGGAAGAAGAAGAAGAACAAACACACCAGCTGCACTTCTCACTCACTCCACCACAATTCCTTTGCACGACTCCCGCAGCTACAACTCTCCATTATTGATGAGACTTCCTCTGTGTGCCTCATCTGCCACAGTGCCGGTTGTACTAGCCTTTGGGCAGCCGCCGCGGTTGTGGAGAGGGACCAGCTGATGCCACGCAAGGAAAAATGAGACAAGGGTCGAGGACATTAACAACCTATTGACAAGGAGCGATGCAGAGGGCACGCAGCGTTGCAGGTTATTGGTCTAATCTAAATTCAATAGGGTTGTCATATGGAAAGAAAGTAATTATCTCAAATCCATGGGGAATGGCCCCTTCTGTAGATCCAGCTGACTCGCAGATTGTCGACCTGAACAGTAGGATTTAAAACATGCTCGGTGGTGCCAAATAACAATAACAGAACCAAGCTGGGAAAATGCACTTTTATGTTTACGTGCACAAAATATTCTAGTTTTTGCCCTTGCTCAGAGGAGGACAGTACTTCTACTAAGCTGTTTACTTAAAGAAGATCAATATTCTTACATGCAGCTTTGCATACTCCAATTACAACTGTAAATCCTACAGCTATGCCCTCTCTACAACGGTATTCAATGATAATTGTGTTTATACACCAGATCTTTTATAAGGTTAAAAAAAATCATATTTTTAATGCACTGTATCCATGTGAAAAGATTGCTCCTAAAACATGTATAATGTTGATGTATCCCCCATGTTCTTAATTAATTCTAAATTCAGAACAAGGCCAACATTTTAAATATGCAAACAAAATATGCTGTTTGAAATGTTATATAATATCTTCATATGTAAATTATACTCAGCTAATCTTGGAATATATCTCAAATGTCAACGTGGGTATTTGGTATTACATGTCTAATTGAAAATATAGCTTCCGTAATTTTGAAGGGCAATGTGGAAGAATTGGCCAAATGTCAAAGCCATACACAATGTTACTCATTAGAGTGCATGGCACAACAGTCCCCATTATTTCTGCCCCAAATCCTTCATGTTCATTTGGAAATATATTCTAAAACTACTGCTGAATCTACATTAACCCAGTTACCCATTGGTAGTTACAGGTTTCTAGCCCTAAATCTGTACCAAATTTCAAACACTCATCGATATCAGTCCCCTATAAGTTTTCAGAAAACACCGCAATCTAACAATAGCAAAACTGATGAAACATTTTCTGGATCTGCCCCTTTGTCTGTATATACTCAAAACTTCTTTCTTGACCATAAACCCATTGTTCCACCAAGTTTCTTGGAAATCTGTCGGGTAGTTTTTGCGTAATCCTCCAGACAAACAACCAACAAACAACCAAACATAACGTCCTTGGCTGAGGTAAGAGATAAAATGCCAGCAGCCAATTAACAGAAAGTTGTCTTAAGAAACAAGCACAGGTCCTCCCCCTCCACTTCCTGGTCACACTGGCCAGTGAAGATACCAGGACGAATCCTGGTGGACCACCCTGTCAGTGGTCCATCAAAAAATCCATAAAGTTTTACCAGCCCTGTCAGTCAGTGTACTCTGTGGACTTGTCATTGAGTGTGCACATGAGGGCGTGTTGCATGCTTTTTCCATGACTGGTGTCACTGGCCACTCACATTAGCTTGAATAAAACTAGCCTCAGCATTTATGCCAGTGTTGCCTTGCTTGGACTGGAGAATTATATTTTCCAACTGGTTTACAACTGGTTGTTTCCTTCGGTTATTGTTAGATTGACGGGGATGATTTCACACCCAGTCTGACCAGAGACAGAAAAGATGTGGTGGTGGCAGAGGACGAGAATGAGTTAGGGAGGAAGAGAAGCTATGAGTTAGAGCAGGAGAAAATTGGCTGCTGGCACACACACACACACACACACACAAACACCCTCCTCCTTCATCACACTGTCTTGTTCTACTTTGACATGATGGAGATTGAAAGACCTGTTCAAACCTACACCCTAACACCACTGCTATTGCATGTTGTGATTCAAGTCTCAAGGTCTCATGGTGGAAGTGTCCATGTATCATCATTTTTACAACCCCACAACTACATCCTGTTAAAAAGAGAAACAGTTTATACATAAGAATGAAAAGAGCTATGATACATGTATGTAACATGTAAATAAAACAGGCTTAGAGTCTTTTGACTCTGAGAAGACTCAAAAAATGTGTTTTTATTCTTTGTTAAAGGACACGTAGTGGCACAGCMACTACTCATGGACACTTCTCATGGTGGAAGTGTCCATGTATCATCATTTTTACAACCCCACTACTCATGGACACTTCTCATGGTGGAAGTGTCCATGTATCATCATTTTTACAACCCCACAACTACATCCTGTTAAAAAGAGAAACAGTTTATACATAAGAATGAAAAGAGCTATGATACATGTATGTAACATGTAAATAAAACAGGCTTAGAGTCTTTTGACTCTGAGAAGACTCAAAAAATGTGTTTTTATTCTTTGTTAAAGGACACGTAGTGGCACAGCAGGTCATTCAGTGCAGGGTGAGACTGGTGGAAAAAGCTCAAACTAGAATAACTGTCAGCCTCTAGACTGTAGTGACCAAAGGAGGCAGAGGAGCTCAAGCTGTGCGAGTGCTCACAGGGGTTAAAAGCTCAGAGATAAAACCCAAGATGTGTCTTTTCTGCAATGGTTGTGTTGCTGTATGGTTACTACACTGAATTGAATGTGGCTGCGGAGGAGGAACATCGTGAAAGCAAGGGATGGGGGTCATTTTGAAGATAGACTGATGCCACACAAGTTGTGGAAAGTGTTTTAAGCACATTTCTTTAGTTACTCCACAACTGACTATCTGCTGTTCTATGTTTATTCATATAACAGCATTAGTCATTAGCTGTAACTGTTATTGGCAAACAGAATTGGTGTCCGAACCCCCTTTCTTGATGACAATGGCTTCTTGAAACAGAAATGCATCTATCTAAAGACAAATTAAACCATAAAAAGAAGTAGATTCATTACTTAAACTGAAAACAAATCACATTTTCTTTAATACCCTTTAAAGTAACCATGTAAATGTTTTTGCGATGGTGATTTGGCAGCTGCAGCGTTTATGTAAATTCTGGGATTAAAGTAAAAAAAAAAAGAACAACCTCTGACTGAAAGGAGGTTGGGGGGTGTTGATTACCTTCACTGCTGCATTCTTCTTTACAATAAGTCTTGAATGTTTATGTGCATCAAATAACTTTGTTTTGAATTGCTCATTTTGTTAGTGAGCCCAACCAGAGAACTCTGACATTGACATTTGTTGGCACCTTGCATGAGGAATGCATTTAATAGCTGATTTCAAACCTGCTGTTTACTGTCCTTCACCAGTGAGACAATGTTACAGGAGTGTAAAGATAAATCATTGGTGTGCTCCTTCAAGTTCAGGTCATATTCCTCCTAGGTCTTGGTAAGCTTGTGTTCCCATTTAATAAGGTCACCTAGCAACAGAGTGATGCATTTAATGTGTTATTAACATCTGCAACAAACTCCCTTAGGACTTGATGGAGTCATGGCACAATCCCCTACATAGCGGTTGGTGTCTCCAACACTGTTCATCTGCCTTTCTGGTGTACGTGCGTAGGTGTAGCCACACTTTCACACACTTTTCAACAAGCTCATACTGTGCCGCGGGCTGTGGTGGCTCTAACGTGGGTTGACCACGAAAGTCTGTGCATCTGGCAGTGATGGATGGACGACAAAACACAAAGAAGCCGGAGGACTGTATGGAGGGAGAGAGGAGACAGGGTGGTGTGGATATTGATTGACTGGAAACCTGCGAAATATAAGACATCACATATAGAGATGGACTCACTTTCACCCATTCTCTCTCTCTCCCTCTCAGCAATAGGTTCTTCATTCGAATCCGTTCATTTGCATATTCTCCCCATGATTGTTTGGATCTTGACCTGGTACTCCAGCTTCCTCCCACAGTCTGAATACATGGTGGAGGTCAGGTTGTGTGGACAGATTAATTGGAGGATGCGGTTCACGAGGTCCGAACTGAAATGAGACGGTCTTGTCTGCATGATTGACGTCACCAGTTTATCCTGCCCTTATAGCTGTAGCCTAGCAACAGAGTTGTTGTTGGATACAACAAGAAAGTCTTAAGACTCAAGCAGCGTACATCTTGTTGTCTGTCGGCGCCATTACCTCTTTGAAAAATGGTTTGTCACCATAGTGCAATAACTTCTGGGATAAGTTAGTCCTAAAAAGGATCCACTTGTTGGAGCCTTTGTTTCTCAGGAATGGAAGGATGTGTTTGTCCAGTCTCAAATTCAGCCTGTCAAGGTTACCTCCCCTGAATTGAGACACAGCTATTGATTGTGAGTGTGAATAGATGTTTGTCTC